GATACCAAGAAAGAGGAAGAATATTTTCAATTTGCTGGTACCAAAGAAGAATATATTACGTAAAAAGAGGACATAGAACACAAACAGCACTAGTACTAACAACAGATCCTCCATACTAGACAAGAAGCACCAAACAGTACAGCAGCAGTATCAACAAGTCATGATAAAAAAAGCAAAGAATATCAAACAGCAGAACAGAAGAAACAAGCACCAGTTGTTCCTTCTGATCTTTGGTACTGGTACTTTTCCCTCAGAGCTTCACTGCTAATTCTCTTAGTAGAAGTACTACTAGTACTAGTAGTTCAACCTCCTCCATTATTTCAACTATTTGTTACTACCACTACTAGTATTATTGTTAGTTGGTAGCTGCTGTGGCCTGCTGAGCTTCTGCAGTAGCAATACTATCAAGGATTTGCTGCCCAGCAATGATGTGACTAGGATTGCAAATGATTGAAATATTGATAATACCTTGATGCATGAGACTCACTTTTCCAATCTTAGGGAGCTTGTAATTGTTGTCACTTAGGACACCAAGCAAGGCTTCAATACAAGCCTGCTGGAGGGATAGAAAGAAATTGTTGATTGTTTTGCATTTAGCCTTGTCAAATGCCTTTTAAATGTTGGCAATCAAATTATCAATATTTTTCATTGTTTCTTGCTCTGCAAACTTTGAATAAAATTAGAGAAACCAAGATCCAGAATGTTCAAATCAGGACTATTTGGCGGTTGAGTCTTAACATGAATATTCCAGCCTGTTGTTGCTGCAGCTTCAGCAACATTGGCTCTGATAGAAGACTTATGGGGCTTTCCACCATTGTCCTCTTGAATGATGATCTCAGGACAACCTTGGCTGTCATTGCCAGTTGCTCCTTGTGGCCATTTTTTTCAAATTGTAGGCAAAACCTTATCAAGAAGCATCTTTCTGTACATGTCACTGTTGATATCTATATGCTTTGTCACCAGGGGACCAGCAGGGCAGCTGACAGACCTAGTATACCAAGCTGGTTTCTTCTCAACAAATGGCCAAACTCCAATCTTTCCATCAAACTGAGCACAGCACATTTTTGTAGTCCTCACTGTTTGCATTCTGTGGTTTTGTAACAAGGGTTCCAGCTGGACAATTGACAGAGGTTCATTATGCTGATTCTTTCACAACATATGGCCATATTCCAATCTTGCCATCAAACCAAGCACACTTACTATTAGTTTGATCAAAATGTGGACTAGCATTTGCACACCAAGACATGACCTTTGTCATTTGATACTTTGACTTTGATGTAGACTTTTGTTTGTCTTCATCTGCAAGTAGATATGTAACTTGAGTTGTCCTCTTCAAATAGAACCTTGTCTCATTGATATGAGTCCACTTCAACCAATTGTCAAATCTTCTGTTCTCATCATCTTGGTGGAGTAGACAAGGATTTGCTTGGAGTCTTACTTACTTGTTGTAGTATCACATGTTGCAGTCTTGCTTGCTGTATTGCTGGCAACAGTAATGCTCTCAGCAGTGTACTACTAGTACTAGCTTGTACCCATAGTAGTGCTTGTTGTTGTCATAGTACGTAGTAGTAGCTTCTGTCTTCCAAGACACACTTGTCCCCCCTGTAAATAAGCATCAGAAACACCACCAAGCAAGCTAATGATGTTCTCCCTTTTAGTGAAAGCAACAGAGACACTAGGCAAGTCAATGGAGGTCCCACAAAGGAGTCACTTCTTGGTGAGGTGCAAAGAAGGTACGAAGAAGAAGAAGCTTGTCTTAGCCAGCAGATGAATAGAAAGCAAGAAGAAGAATGAAAGAGTGAAACAGGAGGTGTGTTGAGATCAAGAGTGAAATTCTTATGTGAAAACAATGTGGGGGGTATCTTTGCACCATGTGCACAGCATTTTTCCTTCTCTTTTTTTTCTGAAAATTCTGCTCATGCTGGCCCAAAATTATTTATCCCACATGAAAACTGCATGTGCCTGAGCAATATGTGGCTTATTTGGCTCCTCTAGTGACCCAATATGACTGCCTAAGAATGTTCCTGTACCAAACACTTCTTATTGTATGATAAACAACTTAGGGCTGGCTTCCTATTGCTCCAAGTCTGGTCCCTACTAAATGACCTGTACTACTAGTAGTAGAACCCTTTCAACAGCAACCACCACCAGTACTAAGCAAAATGAAAATTATATGCTGCAATCATGGGGCCTCCTCTTTGAATAGCTCTACTATCTCATGCATTAGTACCCTAACAATTACTGAAATTAACACGACTGTATACTACTAGAACTACAATAGATCTGTTTAGTGCAAGAAGAACCATACCACTAATGACCCAAATATTGTGCTTATTCCAGTACTACTAGAAAAGGTCCAAACTGTAAACATAGTAGTGGACCGGAGGAAAAAATTTCAAATCCCCAAAAACTAGCACACCCTCGACTTTTCCTCTTCACTTTTAAGCGATTCGTTAGTCGTGATCGATACTCGGACTCGTAGTAGTATTGATCGTTCGTACTACCAGTACGACTACGTAGTAGCATTCCAGCTAAATACGATACATCACTGCCACTTGAAGGAATAATTCCGTACGTACTCTTACAAATCGTCTTTCCGATCAACCAAACACTGTTATCAATTCTATACCGTCTTTTCCTTGTTTCATCGACAGATCGACGGAGCGAGCGATGAGTCTCCTTGATACTTGTACTGATGGCTGCGGATGGGTAAGTTCGCTCGATGTTCAGATCGTGAGATTCTCCCCTGCGACGTTCCCTAACGTCCGTTTTTGTTCTTCCAGGTTGCTGCTTTTGTTGCGGCAATATCTTATGGTAGTTATGGCGTGCCTATCAAGCACACAAAGCATTTAGATGTGAACCCTTTAATTTTTCAATCGTATAAAACATTTGTAATGTTTGTTACATGCTGGAGCGTGGACATTTTCGGTGAAGAAATTGCTTTTACCCGGTGGGGTCTGCTGAGTGGATTAATGTGGGTCGTTGGAGGGTGCGGAGGTATTTATGGTAAGTTCACTGGCAAATCATATCTGCATGGTATTTTTCATATTCTAACGGTCCAACTGCCTTCTATTATCATGCACATTCCATGTACCAGGTATTCGGATGGCAGGTCTCGCTATCGCCGTTGGGTACGTGATGTTAAGAATTTGATTCAACCATGATCTTCGATGGCGATGCTTGTAATTCTTAGTTCTGCAAAATAGAATTCATTTCAAACACTAACATCGCTACCGTATTTTGTTCCTTTAAGTACTTGGGCTAGTGTTATGATAATGATCAACTTTGTCTTTGGTATCTTGTTGTTCGAAGAGCCCGTCCACGACATTTGGGGTACGTTTTGTTCCTTTCTATTGTTAACTATTGGGTTAGTCGGTATGAGCCACTACTCCAGCCCGGAACGAAATGAACAAGACTACAATCAGGAGTTGACACCAAGCGAGTTAGAGATTGACATAAATGCTGGAGACGGCACGAACTATCAATCGTTTGAGTCAACGGAGCAGATAATCGGCGAAAATCAAGAGCAAAAGGAAGCTCACGTTACTTTCTTCAACGGACTTTTGTCGCTGAGCAAGCGACAGTGTGGAATTTTGGGCGCAGTTATGAATGGAATCATGACAGGTGGATCCTTGTTGCCACTTCACTATGCCGCACAAGAAGKGTTCGGCGGAGCAAAGTACTTTCCCTCTTATGGCGTGGGCGCGATGATTGCCAACACTATCTTGTGGATAATTTTTTACGGCTTTTGTCTTTGCAGAGATTACATTAATGGAAAATCAATGACAGAGACGTTTGAGGAACTACCAAAGTGGCATTTTCGTGCGTTGTGGTTGCCCGGACTGCTGGCTGGACTGATGTTGTCCCTAGCGATGTTTTCCACCATTATCGCGATCACATATCTTGGTCAAGGGGTAGGAAACAGCATTGTACAATCGAAGATTTTGGTCAGTGGTCTTTGGGGGATATTCTGGTACAAGGAAGTTTCAGGTGCAAAGACAATAGCCAGATGGTTTGCTTCCGCTGGTATCTGTATGATTTCTATCATTTGGTTGAGCCTAGAGCGGCTCGAAGCCAAAGCAAACGCTGCTCCGACGTCAGCACCAACAGTTAGTAGTTAGCAAGAGACAATTTCTTTAAACGAGGCAGTTTGACACACATTTGAAACACCTGAAGAAGGAAAATCCGAATCGATTCGGTGTTGTTCTTTCCCGTACCTGTTCCATTCCTTGAATTGATTTTTAGAATGACCAACACTATTCACGCAGCACAGAGATCGAAATATTCCTAGGGGTTGATACATATACTATCTCCTCCCTTGTTTAGGTGCCACAAACTAGAAGTCAACAAAACCAGAATTCCAGTTTTGCTGGAGAGATGGTAGCAGGGGGCGAAATCAGTGATAAAAAGGATTTGAACTCGTCCATAGGGATTGGACCATATTTTGGTCATATCAGGTCTCAAAATCTTCTACTGCCTGATCCTCACAGGAAGCTCATCAGAGCACGGCAACAGCAGTGCTGCGAGAGAATCCACAAATCTGCTAGTACTACTACTACTACACACTATGTTGAGAAGAAAGTACGCTCACCAAAGAGAACCCTCACTTTCTGCACCGCCTCACTAGTGGTGGGGCAGCAGAATTCCTCTGTATAATACCATATGGTCTGAGTGCTTCAACTAGTTAACTGCTAATATATCGGAGGTACGGGTACTGCTAGGATACGACCGCACGTACTCGTATGACTGCGATAACTCGTACCAACTCATTTTCTGCAGGGTACTACGTACTGTGAAGTACGAACGACTTCAAGAGACTGCGGTGGGAGTTTTAGAGTTTATTGTACGTACGGTACCGTAGTACGTACCGTACGAGTTTGTACTGGATTTTTTCAATCGGCGTTCTCGTCGACAACATCAGGAGCTCTTGGTGTATCCTGCCAGTATCTCCCGGACGGATAGGACAAGCGACAATCGAGAACAATACAATTACCAATCAATGCGAAGGGGAAAGAATCCTAGACCATCTTTAAAAAAAAATCGTTGGGTACTCTCCTGTGATCTAGCGCAGAAAAAAGTACTGTAGAAAGGAACGGCGCGATGAACGACGAGATCCATCGTGAACGAACATTCGGGACTAGCAACAGTGAAGAGGGGGTTGGTGGAGATAAGATGAAAGAATTATCGAGTGACATTCAGGACACCACTAACGAACTTACAACGGAGAAAGATTCGGACGAGGAAATGAGCTGCGTAGAAGACGATAGGGATGGTGCAGAGAGAGACGAGAACGAAAACGAAGCAGACGACGATAACGATGGACATAGCGCGAAAAGCAAAAACAACCCATTGAAGCCAAAACAACGATATCACACACCGAAAATCTTCCGAGACGCAATTACCGTATTCATTCCTCTGGACGTGACGGCAGACCTAAATATCGCAATTAAACATACACGAGCGAAAAGAATTTCGTCAATCTACAAACGATTCCCGTCACTGCAGAAAGAAGCAAAGAAACTCGACGAGAAGAATAGTATGAAGGACGATGACGATCCTATGATTGATGACGATGAAGAAGATAATGCAAAAGAAAAGGAAGATAAGCAGCTTCTGAAGAAAAGGAAAAAGCTGGAGCACGTGCCCCAACCAGAGCAATTTGGAAGCGTCCTTGATTACCTCGAAGCGAAATACGTAAAGGGGGTTATGTTGGAAGAGGAGGAGGACGGTCCGAATTTGGACGACAACAAATCAGAGGGACAGGGATCGGTATATTCGAAAGACAGCTTTTTGGACGATACCGATCTACAACGAGATGTTGCAGAACAGGTGATGGCTAGCACAACCTTGACAAAGCTTGAGCTGGAACACGAGGATGGAGACTTTTTTGTAAACGTTGGAGCCCTGGAAGTAGAGAATGATGACTACGGTGAGAACTACGATCCCCTCCAGGACAAGGAGAACAAAACTACCAAAAAGAGAAAGAAGCCGTCGGCCACCGTCGCTACCTCGAAATCTAGCTCGAAATCTAGTTCCAAATCTAGCTCCAAATCTAGCTCCAAATCTAGCGACGTGAAAACTCCGGTGCAAAAAAGCAAGAAGGGCAAAACGGATCAGCAGGCTAAGAAAAAGGAACCAACCTCTGCAAAGTCCAAAAAATCCACGACTTCTATTGCATCCACGAAATCAAAGAAGCCGGAAGACAAGGCCTCAAAACTGGTAGCAAAGAAGGCTAAGTCGCGCTGGGAGTCTCTATTCAAAAAGGCTGTTGCAATGATCAAGAAACTAACTCCAGAAGAACTCCCGAGAATGAAAACAAAACAAAAGGTTGCCCTCAAGTGTCCAAAAAACAAGAAACCCGGGGATGACATTACATTTGCGTACGTTTCGTTCTGATTGAGTCTGGTTTGGAACACCATTTGTTTGCACTTTCGTCGACACATTCTGTTGCTAACTTCATTCCGTTTTTGCTCTTCCATCTTGATTCACGCCTGTAAATAGTAACCCGCACAATCCAGGTACGTGTTTTTTCTTTTTCTAACTCGTAGACTAGTTAAGATTTTGAAAGCGCGAGTCTCACACTCTTTCATTGTAAAACAGGTCAGAAATTGCGGGTGAAAGTACCGAAAGATTGCTTTCCGGGAGGAACATTTAAAGTCACGGTCCCTGTGAAACACCGCCCAGGAGATACAGATAACGAGAAAGATCGCAACAAACTCCCGAGAGATCTGCAGGAAGCGCTGGATGTATACGGGAAGGCATATGACGAATGGTGCACGGCCCAATCCAAGGTAGATAGTACGTTTGAGACATTTAAAATGAAGCAAGGCAAATTCGACAAACTTGCCAAGCTGTTTCCCAAGGATTTGATTACACCCATCGATACGCACTATTTGAAGCAAGTTGTCCGTCGAGCGCGCCAAAACAAGTACAAGCGCTCAAAGACTGCTGCAGCAGCTGCCGCAAAAAGCGAGAAAGAATCTATGAAGGATAAATCACCAGCAAAAAGTTTAGACGAAGAAGCGTCGGTGAAGGAAGAAAGCGACGAAGAAGAGTACGAGCAGCCACCAAAGAAGCATAGGATCGTAAAGATGCCAACAACAGGTTTGAAATACGGAAACAAAAGTTTTTCTTCCTCCGACTTTAACTGGAGTATGTAATATTATAAACGCATTATGGATCTTTGAGACTGGCCCCTATTCTATTTTTGAAAACCGACCGAAACAAAAGTTATCACTACGAAGCTGCTTTGCTCTCGATAAGATTTAGGATTTAGTACTCACTAAGTATCTTATTTTAGGTATAATTTTGTACCTTGGCGAAAGCTACAAATCAATAATTTGGAGCACAGCTTCTTGACTCATAACTTCAAGACTCGAGTGTATAAATGTGCAATCCACCCTTCTCACTTCCAGAAATCAGCCGTGACTGTGTCTGCGAAAAACTTGCTGTGTTTTTACCAGCTGTCGTCAGCGAATCGATGGTCCAAACAACGTCGTCGCTCGTAAAGCTATGCTGGGCTTGATCCATTTGCCCTGCGCTCCAAACATGTATCTGCCGATCCGCGCCACAGGATATGAATCGTCGAGAGTCAGAAAGAGACGCCAAGCCAAGCACCCACGTGGCATGGGCTTGTACAACGTGCTGCACAAGAACCGGACTAGACCTTGAAGTATCCCACATGCAAATCATACCATCGTCGCTAGACGTGATCATCAAATTCCCATCGGGGGTATATGCTACACCGCGAACGGGTGCCTCGTGTTGAATCAACCGATGGGAACGTTCTCCGAATATCTCTATTAGACCGTCCTGTCGTCCGACCACAAAGGATTTTTTTAGGGGATGCCAAGCTCCGCTCAGAGCAATCGAAGTGGCTGCCTTGGACCAGCGATCCACAACCACCCCGGCTGTGGTAGAATCACTCTGGGATTTGGGCGTTGTCAGACCTGTGGCTACGAGAGCCACCGTCCCGTCCAAACAAGGGACTGCGAGGAGGATGTCACCAACACCAGAAACGTTCGGCGGCATGATCTTTATGCAGGTACCGGTAGCATTTTCGACCCAAAATTCTTGCGAGACCTCGGGGCTCACCTCGGCACCATCGCTGCTCCCATCTTCTATCTGTGATAAGCCGTTGTCCATGTCTTCCGGCAACACCCATATTCTGATTTTGCCAGATAAATCCGAGGAAACCACAATCAGATCTCCGGCCGCATCATCTTCGCCTACATAATTTCGCGCAACTTGAACCTGGGAACATCCAATGGCGGTCATTTTCTGTACCCCTTCCTCGCTGTCAGTGCTCGTGCCTGGATGTTCCTGTGACGACCCGAGCAATACATGCGTCAGGACGCACTTGCAATTTGCCGCATCCAGGGCGTCCTTCTGTGTTTCCAGTGTTTTCTCCACTACCAGGTAGCCTCTCACAACGCCATCTCCGCACGCGACCCACACTCTCCACGCTGTTCCAGCTTGGCTCGCAGCCAAGTTGCTGCTTCCTGTTCTGAGTACAGGACTGCTAGCAACTTGCCAAATGGGAAAGGATCCGAGACTTTCCCGATGAAAACTTCGATAACCACTCATGAAGACTGTTGAGATGTGCCGTGCTCCGTTGTTTTTTCTCTCGCAAGCGAGTTGTATCCCGTCAGAATTAGATGTTCTCTGTATTTGACACCCCGTTGGATGTTCGTCTTCTCACCGCCTCACCCGGATCACCTTGGAGTCAACACACCTAAGATAAGTGCTTGTAATGAGGAAGCTTCGTAACAGTTCCATCAGATTTGAACAGTAAAAATCGGATTGATCGTCGACTATCATCACCCTAGATTCTGTACGGGTCGTACGGTACCGTGCGAGGTTGGAAGGATTAGGAGACGGATTGATTTTCCCAGGTCATGGGTCAGAAAAAAAGTTTTCCTGCGCGCTAAAAGTGAATGACCGCGCGCATTCTTATTCACAATTTTTTGGTTTTCATCTGACGAATTTCAGTTTCAAGAAAGTTGTTCGTTGTCGACAGAGAATCGGAGAATCATCGAAGATGAGAGCTGTACACTGTCTTTCTGCTTGATGTCCCCGATTGCCATCAAGTGTGTAAGTTTCGGACTTGACAGCACGAAGAAAAACATGAAATGCTCGCAAGATTTGAAATCGGACTGCGGAGAGTCCACCGTGGCATTTTGACGAGGCCAATTGGGTGTTACGGATTGTCGATGACAACCGCAACAACAACGACAACGACAACGACAACGACAACGACAACGACAGCTGCGTCGACACACCCGTCGCAATGGAAACCGTTGACACACCGTCTGCTTGAGCGCACAAAGGATTTCGATGCAAGAAGCGACAGATTTGGAGGTGTTAGTCACAGTGGAAAGTTGCAGGCGGAGTATCACAACCTGCTGAACGATTGGCGTCATGTTCTTTTCAAAATACCGAACAACGAAACGGAGATTCTTTCCAAGAGTGCCAACTCAATCGAAAAGCTCCTCCACTCTATTTTTGACTGTATCTCAAGGAAAAATGAAGGAACACAGTGTTTCGACCACAAGAGCAACAGCCAAAGCTTTCAGAAAAACCATTACTTTCAGCCACCCCCGACGCTCCGAGACGATGTAACTACCGGGATCTATGCATGGGGAAGAACGGCAGTCAATGACTCAAGTTCTCCATTGAGAGCCGAAGCCCTCTTCCAAAAGTTTGAAAAGAATTGTAAAATTTCTAGAAGCAGCAATTCAATCTGTCGTCCCACTTCTGACGTCTACTCGGCTCTGGTCTATTGCTGGTCTCAGGCTCAGGCAAATCAAATTGCCTCCCAAAAAGCTCTCTATTGGTTTCGAAAGATAGAGGAAAACAAAGCCATGGTGGTGACCTCGGAAGCTTGGAATGCTCTTCTTCGAATCCACGTTAGACAAGGGAAAAATGTCGACAAAAATCTCCTCACAAAACATTCCATTCTAAACGATGGCTATACGTATGCCAGTCTTGTGGAAGGCTGGATGGATTCCGAGTTGCCGTATAGCTCAAAAAACGCTTACAATGAATTGCAACGCGGTATTGCCTATTGCATTGACAAAGAAGATCAAATGCCGGCGCTTCGGCAGCTCATTCTGACATATCTGGTGAAAAACATTGAGAAAGGCAACATTCTTGAATACGAGCAAGTTATGAACCAAGCGTCAATTCTCCAGGAAAATCGTCCCGAGCTAGATTTTTTTGATGCGAAGCATTTCCTTGCCGTCATGAACGCTTTTGGTGCCAGAGGAGATTCCGATAAGGTCATTCAACTATACCAAGAGTTACAAATAGATTACGAACAAGGTTCTGAACGATTCAAGCCAAGCTACCAAATTGTGGTTGCCGTGTTGTCAGCTCTGGCAAAGAAACAAAACCTCAAGAGTCTTGCAGCATGCGAAAGTTTGCTGTCGGAAATAGAATCGTACTTGTTGATAGACGGTGTGTCGGCAGCTGGAATCACCAACCACGCGTACAACATAGTGCTAGACTGCTACATCCGATTTCCACATGTCAAAAATAGGAGGGAGCGCGTGGAGAAGTTGATTGAGCGCATGGAAAAATTAGCAAGTAAACACAACAATCCACTTTTACGTCCCGACAAACTATCCTTTGCCGCCTACATCAAATCGATCATACAAGAAGACAAACCAGGGTCTGTGTTGGAGATCGATAAGATTCTTCAAAGAATGGAAAATTCTCATCTACTTTCTATTCAACCGGACAGGAATATTTATACAATCGTGCTGGAGGCTGTTTTGGCACGTGGTGAGAAAACAGCCATATTGCAAGCGAAAGATGTTATGGATAGAATGGGACGGTGTGTCAATCTTCTTCCAGACAGGATAATGTATACGATTTTGATGAAAATTCATTCGCTGGCGGGTGACGTCCAGGGGTCCGACGATGTATTGAATGAAATGATTGAAGCCTATGAAAAAGGCCGCGCCGATTGCTGTCCGAACGAAAAAGCATTCGTTACGGCGATAAGCTCATTGAAACAATTGAACAGAGAGGATGTTCCAGATGAAGCTTTTAGAATCTTCAACAAAATGGTAGCTCTTTACAACAACGGGATCGAGGAGTGCCGACCTTCTATGAAAACCTTTGGAATGCTGATGGTAATTCTTGCAAAAAGCAATCACAAATCGAAATTGCAAATGGCTCAACGCCTCATCTATGAAATGGAGAAATACGGTGTGAACCCCGACTTGACGCTATTGAATTGGTACATGCGTGTCTGCACCACAATCACTAGCAGCGATCTACGTCAGCATAGAGAAAGCTGGACGGAAATATTGCTCACGTTCAACACACTACAAGAAAGGGGGATAGCGAACTCCCACAGCTACAATTCAGTTTTCCATGCATGCGATAGGTTTGTTCTCGATCCCGACGAGAGATATTCCTTTTTTCGTGATACGTATTACAAGTGCCGAAAGGATGGGCAAGTAGATAGAAAAATCTTGACGTCACTCCGACGATTCCTTTCGCCCAAGGTATACCGCCATTTGACAAAGCTGGATCCAAGTGACAATACGATAAAAATGAAGGTATATCGACAGTTGAACAGGCTTGACCCAGATGACAATGATAAAATGTGAAAAAGATACGACCAATCTGAAATGTAAATTTACAATAACGCCACACGACATTACACTGCCATCGTCGGATAATCGTTGTTATGCTGCGAGACAAGAAAATTAGGTATATTATGATTAAGTTTCGTCATCCATATCGTGTACCAAACAACTATCAGGTTGGAACTCCCATTGCAACCAATGCCTGTTGTTGCTTCATTTGCAACATTGCCAAAGATCTTCCCACTCGTGGATTGGAGGCATTCGCCTCGATAGACTTTTGGAATTGCATTTGGGTGACTCCCAATTGTTTCAGGGCCTCCTCTCCCTTGTCGTTTGCTACACCCGAGAACGCTAGCTGCAATTCCTGTGCCACGCGAGGATCTCTCAGATTTTTTTCTTTCTTCTTGAAATCGTCGACCAATTCACCCATTGCATTGGTCAGGGAATCAAAGTAAAATTCTGCGACTTCGATTGTCTTCTCAGCAGACATTATCTCTATTGGTTCTTCTGGTTTGGTGGGACCCTTGGCACCCCCCTTTCTCATTCCGACAACGCTCTCTCCAGACACATTCTCCCAGAGTTTTTGGAATCTCTCCACCGAAGTTTTCACTTTCGGGTATTCGTCTGCCTTTTCTAGAAACTCCCAGGTTGCTTCTTCGAAGCAATCGTAGTCCATGTCGGCTTCTTCAAGAGCCTGTTTCTGCTTGGCGACGAGAGCACGCTGGTATTCGCCGACCAAAATCTGTCGCAGTTGTTGCTGAGGAATGTTTTGGCCGCTCATTTGTATTTGTTGGATTTGCTGACTCAGCTGTGCCAAAACACCTTGCATCTCCATAAACAACCTGTCGAAAACCTTGCAGACATCCTCTCCGGTGATTAAATCTCCCTCTTCGTATTCGTCATCGATTTCAGCGAGTTCTCGGCTGTCGGAAGAGGATTCCTTTGACAAAAAGGATTTTGCCGCAACAGCCGCCACAAGGAGGGCCGACCCGATAATTACCTTGCTGGAAGTCGACATGCTCTACGATTTGGAAGCTAGAAAACAAACTTTGTTCGATAGTTTTGTTTGTTAGCCCGGTTTTAGTGGCACGGCACCCTTTGTTGTTGTGGTTGTACCCGGAAAGTCGTTCGCTGGAAGCAGAAGATAGATCTAGCTGGCTGTGAGCTCTCGCTGGGCCTGCAGGGTTCGCAGGCAAGAAACGAATGAAACAGAAAACAGGGTTTTGCGGTCGCTGCTGCGTTCGTTCTCGCGCACAATTAGTACGGCATCGTACGAGAAGTACCAGGTACTGGCTGGGACGTAACAAACCCTTTTTCTTGGGGCTCATAATTTGAGATGACCGACGACGGACAGTCGATAGTCGATAGAATTCTAATTTCTAATGATTCCGATGATTCCACTCCCCCAAATTGTGACAGCATGGAAAAACTGAAATAGATGATCTTTGTTGAAATGTAGCAGTACTGTATATCATTGCGACGGAGACTGCGATACTTACCGTGCATTTCTTCGCCGCAAGAGTTGTGTGCTTCACTCCACCATGGCATCTTTCAACAACAAGCAACCCCTGCCGAAGAGCAAGGGGTCTTCCTTCGATGCGTTTTCGAAGGTAGACGAGCTCGTTTCGAAACCCGTTGTCGGATCGGACGGGGCGGCATCGTGGCAGGCGTTCCGAAAAGACAACCAAGCGAACGTTCGCCACCAAGTATCGGTGGCCCCAAAGGCCCCATTGAAGAAGCAAGACAAGCTCGGAACGGGATTTTCCTCGTGGGAGGAAGAGCGGGCGCACGAAGACATGGTTCGGAAAAACGCTGGGCACGCCTCTGCAAATTCCGGATATACAACGTTCAAGAACGACAAGAGTGCTGCCAAAGAAGCAGCGCTGCGCAAGAAACGAAAGGCGCAGATAGAAGCTAGAATACGTCCAGACGACGAGGAATATTTCATCGCGTCAGCGACCTTTGAGGGATGGAAATTCGACTACGTTTTTACCACGAAAAATGGTGCCACGGGTTACTACTGGGACGGCATGGACAGCGTGAAGAAGGAGAGGGGCGAATCAATGCCGGAGAAAAAATCGGGTCGGTTGCCATCGGCGTCACCCGGTGTACAAACCAACGAAACCAAGGATGCCTCCGTCACAAACAAGCCMAAAAAGAAACGAAAAAAAAAGAAAGGCCCGACAATCGTGCACGACCCAAACAATCCCATGGAACAGGTGCAGGCAATTCTAGAGCGGCGGAACCAAAAACTGATGGGAATGATCACCGCCGACCACGATCTTCCAAGTGGATGGGAGGCCGCAAAAGATCCTTCGACCGGAAAGTCATACTACTTCCACCGTGCCTCTGGTGACCGCACCTGGGAAAAACCAAAGATGTCCACGGGTAGTACGAAAGATCAAGGCAACAACACCGAAACCTTGCCAGCAGGATGGAAGTCGGCGGTGGATCAGGTGTCGGGGAAAACATACTACCATCATACAAGTGGCAAAACCACGTGGACAAAACCTCGGTAATCGGCAAAAAAGGTATCGAATAATATCAACGTTATTGCAGTTTATCTGGGGCTTGGAAGTCAATGATTTTGGACTTTTTCAGTTCTTTGTTCAGAAGAGGAACCCAGTGGTTTTCGATAATGGGGTTCACATAGCAATTGTAGAGCCAACCCTCACTGTCTTTCGTTACGTTACTGGATGTGTCTAGCGTTGGATACGGTACTCCTATACGACACGTTCCTCTCTTCATTTCACCCGTGCAGCGTTTCTGCCACCCGGCGGTGTCTTGTGTTGCAATTGCTTTCGAATGAAGCATGGTCACCTCCGTCTGTTCGTCGGAAAAACGTGACAGAGGATCCGGTGCAACGCGGTAGAAATTCATTCCAGCTGCAACCGTCTCTTGTCTGCCCATCATCGTGAATTTTGTTACGGTCGAGAAATGGACAAAGTGTTGGAGAACGTAATCGGTTCGATATATCTGCTTCTCGGCCGGCATCTTCTCGGTCTTAACCTGCTGCCGGTCGCAGTTATATGTTTGCAAAACTGATGTGTCATTCCGGATCTTCAAGTGGAAACACGGGAATGGTTCGTCGCAAACCGCCCTGTCAACAATAGGAACGGGGGGTGCAATAAAATCTTTTCGAGGCCATGCTCTCCAGGAACCAAAGTTAATTATTTTGGTTCCATTGTCGTCCAGGGTGGTCAAAAAGTCCTTGATGGACGTATAATTCCCAACAGGTGTGATATACTCATCGATGTCCATGGCTGCCATCCAGTCCGTGTGGGGACCGAACCTAAGACGGCAAGACGATTCTGCAGCATACTGGGACGATCGTTCCCCTGGACTGTCGTGGAAATTCCGATTGTTGTTGCATACAGTGGCAGGCCAGGGCACTCTAGTAACCCTGCCCGGGAATTGATCCGCAACGTCTTTGAGACCTGCCCCTTCCCGGGAATTGTCGTAGATGAATATGTGATCGATACCTGTCAATAAATGAAATCTGATCCACTCGTCGGCCCTACGAGCTCCGTCGTCAATCTTGAATCGGTCTCCTCTGGTGGCATAGCTTAGCGAAGCCCATGCGCAAGCAACCACTCGGTGCTTCTTCGTATTTATTGTAGAATGGAACAACGAGACTCCCGCCGCTTCTTCCGTTGGCGCAGCTTCCGGCGGTGATGTGACAGATGGGTATGCCTTGTAGGTTGGGAGGCATATTGGTATGTTTTCCCATCGCCCAGAATCCTCCACGCGAGGGAGAACATGGGAGTCGCCCCATTCTGTGGCTGCTGAAAAATCATATGGCTCCCCGAATTGGTACTTGGGTGGCAAAAATCGATTGGGGGCTCCGTACCGTGGAGGTGTTCGAATCGGTACCAGCGTTACGAACAAGGTGGCCCAGTCGTCGATGACAGATGTACCTTCCCGCACAGTCTCCACGAGCTTTTCTGGAACTGGGCACATGAAAATCAGTTGTGATGTATGCAAGGTTTTGTGGTCTTTGTGGCCTTCTTTGCTGTGCAATTTTTTACTGTGCTTCCGCGCTCCAACATAATCGAAATTGAAGTTGAATTGCGACAACGTTTCCTGGCCATTCGAAAATCTGCAAATAAATCGAGTCTCTACGCCATCTGAATCCGCCTCCTCGTGCGAAGTCAGTTTGTAACGTATTTCTTCCGCTCCTTTCGAATTCTTGATATTAACTCGTTTTACCGGAACGTGCTGAAAAAGTGAAACCTGGGGCTGCATCTTTTCTAAAATTTCAAGCTGATCTGGTGTCGTACCAGATTGACACCTGCGTTTATTTTGAGCCACGAATTGAATAAACTTTCCGTCGTCGGTAGGAAAGACATCGTGGATCCATGGAAGAAAAGGATCTGCGTCCGGAAAGTCGTCCACGGGCCACAGCTCTGGTAATTTACGACACGAGTTCACTCTTGGATAGTCGATGGTTGTCAATTGTTTCTCGGTGACATTTCTTACAGGTAATGGTTTTCTTTCCCAGTCAGTTAGATAGATAGGTTCCAAATGGGCTTTGAGTGTTCTTTGGGAGGATGAGGATGATTTCGACTGAATGGCCTTCATTTTTTTAATTTCTTCTGGGTGTTTCATCTCGTGGATATCGGCATCTTCTAAGTCGAATTTCGACGACAATGGTTTGATTGGGTTCAATTGTGCTCCGGTATTACTTTTCGGAAAATGGTGATTGGGTGCCTTGTGTTTTTTCTTTTCGGGTTGCCGTGCTGCTTCGTTTTGTCTGTCGTGATCTTTCCTTAGGTTCCGTATGTGTTCCTTGAGTTGTTTGTTTTTGTTCATATTAAAAACCGGAGGTCCCCAGTTTCCTTGCACCTCTTTTTGGAAAAAGGTGTTTTGACCCCATCGAAACACCATTACTGTTATTGTCGACCACAACAAAAAGACAACGCCCATCATGGTAATGAAGACGCGCTGAAGCGTAGCCTGTGATACCCGGCGGCCATTCGGCACGAGGCCTGCCGCAGTGAAGGCCGGGCCTCGTTTTCTATTTCTGATTCCAATCCCGGTCATGTTGCCGCCATTCTGGACTTTGGCTTTCAGTCCCATGCTGAAACGGTAAATTGATTCTTTTTGACGACGGGATTCAGAAAATAACTATGACGGAGTTGCTTTAATCGCATTACTATCAAGTATTGAAGCTCTCAAGGGTCAACAAACAAATTACATCAGACATCGAACAGCTCCGCCGGATTATACGTACGGAACCGTACAGGGGAAGAAGAGCACTGATTTTCTTCCTTTTTCCATCAATTTTTGAAATGCCAGGTGATCCTGTGTTATCGTTTCGTGAGTACAGTAACTGCGTACGACAATACGAGTACTCGTATTGAAACGTACGGTACACCCACTGTATTAACGGTAGAACATTTTGAAAAAAGCATTGGACTTCCAAATCTTAATCGAATCGGTCATGAATAAGAACCCAATGCTTAATGATGAAAGCATGATTGCCTCTAGTACTGTATGTGAGACTAGATTACTAGTGCGTACGTACGGTACTACCCTACGAAGGTACCTGTACCTTTATTGTATGCGCTATTTAGAATTTAGTAGCGAGCGTCATGATTTCGGTGCACGTAAGGTACGTACGGCACGAATCTACCTGTTGAAAGGTTCTCTTGTTATGCTAAACCATAGTCACGAGTATGTACTTGTACCTACTCGTACGTACTCGTAGATATTGGGCCACTCTTCACTGTGATCTCCTACCTGTATCGTGCACTACTAGAGAGCCTATTACTACTAGTAGTAACATTTCGCAGGTTATCATTGTCGTCTGTTGGAAACTGATTCCCTTTCTTCTTCGCCACATTGTTCTACAATTTTAGTACCTCCTCAGGTATGAGAAGAGGGGCGTCGAGCACAATCTTACTAGCTTACATTCGAAATGGCTACAACAATTCTCAAGCAGATGCAGTTCTAGTTTAGAATTATGTCTAGGTTACATCATGCGAAAAGGAATCTCAGTGCGATGTTAAGAGAAAGTGCCCTATTCGATATCCCAACCTACTCATTCCGCAATTGGAGAAACATCGAGTTTCTAGTATACCAAGATACAGAAACTCGACGGAACAAGACCGTCGATTCGTCCTGCACAAACCAGTGGTTGTAGAAAATGTCCATACCAATCAAAGACAAAATCGATTGTAAATAATTCAACGTTCTTCTATAGAGTGTAGAAGGCAGTGAAATTTTATTCGGTGTCTTTAGTTCGCAACAAGGAATCATTGACTAGAACTGGTGTAACAGGGACAATGTCCATGGATATCTAACTGTCATGGGTATGTTCAATCGGAACGCTGTCGTTACCGGCAGGGGCCTCCTCGGAAGAACGGTATTGTTTCAGCAACCACCCACCAAGACCTGCCGATGCCGCCCATAGTACCGTGAAGACGGCGCAATAGATTGCGTACCCTTTTCTCGCGGGCGACATGAAGACGAGGGCAAATACCACTCCGATCATATAGTTGAGGGCTACAAAGGTATGCGATGCGACCACCGATATTAGAATGTAAGAACCTCGTAGGTTCACCGATCTGGTATGCGCGAGGAAGAAGAGATACGTGCCAGTTATCATCACCGTGAGAAAGGAGACAATCCCGAGGTCGAAACCATTTCGTATCGTGTTCAAAATCGCCCATACCCAAAAGAAGAGTGCTACAGCACTCGTCAGGACTGCAAACAGCCTCAATTGCTGTCTTTTGGTTTCCATAATCGCTGGTTTCTTTCGGCACTGTTGGGAACTGAATTTGTACAGATCCAAACTTGTCTCTGTTCCGAGTTATTGTTCTTCTACCGGTACGTACCAGGTGTGAGCCTAATTTGCAACGAAAAGCGGCAAAGTGTGTCAGATCGGGAACTTCGATATGCCCTGGTGCGCACGCTTTCGCCACCATACAAATTAAACGAATAACGATATGCCCCCGAAAATGAAAAAACGAGCAATTGGGAATGGGGCTATTTGCTATTCGGCTATTCCAATCATGGAAGTCGAAACATTAAAAAAGACTAAAATAGTTTTGACTGTAATTGTTTCTTGAAGAAGAAGGGGGGTCCAGGTGGTGGATTTTCAAGAAACTTTACAATAGGATGTTTTTAGTCATAGAGCCCGTAGGGTTTTGAAGAACTATGAAACAGTGTGAAACAATAAAGTTAGTAAGGGAATGAGATGCCAAGAAGTTAAATGATAGTACGAGTTAATTTGTTGATATAAAGTGCGTTAACTGTAAAAAGAAGCCTAGTACTACTAGTACTACTAGTACCACCAAGCCTTGTTACATAGTAGTAGCAAAAAGGCATTCTAGTACTCAAATGCCAAAATTATTACTAGTAAAATTGTGCTGGTTAATTTTGAAGCCAAGTATTTAGTACTGATCCTACATAGATCTACTAGTATTCGGTCACTCTTTCAACCCCAAATAGTTCAATAAGCTACTACTAACCACAAGAACAGCTCCAAAAAAAAGTCTCTAGTAGTAATGAGATCCCCTTTGGGGATATGCTTGGTCATAGTAGTGTTAGCAAGAAGAGCGCTGTGTGTCACTGTTACATGACTACTATAGTCTTGGGGGGAGGCAGTTCTCCATCAGCAGCCGGCGGTATTGCCAAAATAGGCAAGTGGAGACCGGCTGCTGGTTAGAACAAAATAGGCCACCACTAGAACTCTATCAAAAAACAAGAACTTTAGACCACCAGACTAAGCGCTCAGACCAAGTTGATACAATTACTACTAGTACTTGTTAGAGATCTACTAGTAGGTCACCATGATTGGGAAGCCAAGAAATGATGCTCTAGCTACTAGTAGTAGTACTAGTAGTAGTACTACTAGTAGTGCTCCTGCTGGCTTCTTGTTGGAACTACTACTAGTCAGCCAAAGTTACAGGTAGTGAGGGGTCAAAAATTGTTAATCCTAGTAGTAGGGGTAATTTTATTACGAATTGACTGGTACTCAGCAAGAAACTAGTAGTTGGTGACATGTGACTAACTGATAGTACTATTAATACAGTGCTGACACCTTCGACTTCTAGTACTGCCACCGAAGCAGACCAATCTACTGGTTGGTACGTATCGTAGTACGTACGTACCTTGTACTCGTAGCTGAAAGTGGCGTTTCGAGTTTAGAAGTTGCCTGACTCATTCGTGATTGAGATCAGTACGAGAACTTACCTACCAGTATTTCTACTCGCATTGAGAAAGTACAAAGAACCTTTCTCGTAAGCTTTCTTCATGTCTAGTGCTAGTACCTAGTCGTACCGCCCGGTACAGCATGTGACACAGGTGGTTTTGATGAGGATTGCCATCGATGGCACAATACACAAAAACGTCGACTCAAATGTTATCAACAGCGCGTCACCTCGGAAGTCGCACGACGACCTTCGGACGATGGGTAGTCGGTCCTAGAACCTCATTGCATCCGTCTTCGTCAACGTCGCCGCCTATCGGAGGAAGATATGCACTGCGAAGCCGAAAGTGCACAACATCGCCGCAGTCGTCGGTGGTGAGATCGATGACATCAAAATCAAAGTCATCACCGAAGTCAGAGCTTTCGACTGCCGCGGCTGCGAAGACACGAGCTGGAACCGGAAAAGTAGACACGGGAACACCATATATCAAGGATCGCGGGCCCGTATCTTGGCCCTCCCTTTTCTTGGTGGGGATAGCAGCTGCTTCCGTGGTTGCATACTACAACATCGAGCGAGAAAGACGACTGGAATCGGCAATGGGGAGGGTTGTAAGCAGTGAGTCTGATGGTTGGTCTCCAAATCCTGGTGTTATGGCACCAAGAAAGTTCAAATTGACTCCTTGGGGCTATTTCCCTGAGGATGACGGTTTTGGTCCCTGTAAGTTGCTAAGGATGTGCTTGATTCTGATATCACGACTCATTCTATCAAATTTCTTTTTCTTATCTTTCGAATTATGTCTTTACTTTTCTTTATCATCCGAATATGAATAAATGTGTACACCTATTTCCTTTAGCTGGCAAACCTGCAATTGGTGGACCTTGGTCGCTGGTAGATCTGGATGGAAAGTTAGTTACAAATGCATCCTTTCAAGGAAAATGGCTGTTGCTCTATTTTGGATTTGCTCGTTGTCCCGATATTTGCCCGTCAGAAATGTTGAAACTTGCTCGTGTGATCGATCAGCTCAAGGAAACCCACCCACAGTTGGCATCGCAGCTTGTCCCTGTCTTTGTTTCGGTGGATCCGGCGAGGGATTCTTTGACAGCCCTGAGAGAATATGCAAAAGATTTCCATCCTGACTACGTCTTTTTGACTGGATCACCAACTCAGGTACAGGAAATGGCTAAAAAGTACCGAGTCTACGTCAGCAAAGCAGAAGAAACCGATGATGGCGATTATTTAGTCGACCATTCGATTGTCGTATATTTCCACGACGATAAGGGAGAACTTTCAGACTGCTTCACTCAATCGATGCGACCGAAGGACATATCAGAGAAAATCATTGAAAAAATGACTTCACCTAAGGGGTTGGTTGCTTGATTGTAAGGTAGTTAGTAAACTGTTCTAAAAAGTATTTATTAGGAAAGTAGCATTTCCTTTTACGGGAGATGAATGCGAAATCCCATTCGACGTGGCTCACATCTCGATCCAGGCCCATCGCTTAGATTGAATTTTGCCAATCGACTCTGACTCTTATCTTCGAAACTAGATACGGCACCAATTCATTATTGATTCCTTCGCTTCGAAAAAAGAGTTCTCCATTGTAACTTGCAACATGATCGAACTTATGCGATAGGAAAACTTTGAGTCGCATACGTTTGTTCCAGTTTTCAGCAACAGGCAACGAAAGAATCTGTCTACACAGATATCCGAATTGTTGTGATTGAACTTGGTCCGGGGCAGCTGGACATTTATATCCCCAACCCGAGCTACCTCTAAGCAGTGTTCGAGACGAAAACACGTGAATTACAAGCACTGTAGTTCACTTTAGCTCAACGGAGAATTGTCTGAAGATGATTATTCAAGGCAACGACCGCGTGTGAATATCGATGTAAGAGGACATAAGAGTATGTTCATCAAGAATAGCGCGTCGCCATTTCCAACTTTACCTCTTCATCTAGGAGCTCGCTCTCACAATTCAAATTTGAAACTCCAGGAACTTCGTCAACAAAGGTTTCTTGATCTTCGTCCAAAAATTCTTCATCGCTTTCGTTGGCAAAATCTTGTTCGTCTTCGTCGAACACGTCTTCGGACTGTATTGGTTCCATACCGGATCTCTCGTTCTCTTTCTTTTGCAAATGGAAGACAACCTTGTACAACATCACACCACTAAACACGACGCAAACCCCAGCCGTGTTCATCAGATTTAATCTATCCCCGAAAAAAGAAACGCCGACAAAGATAGTTGTCAGCTCTTTGATTACGCCTCCAATCATCAAAATAATAGCCGATGCCTTCAGTATGAGATATAATTCGCAAAGAATCATGACAATCGCAAAGGTCCCACCAATCATTCCCAAGAGGAAAACTTTCAATAATTCGTTCGAATCATTATCTTGGGCTTCTACTAATTTCACCCAAGGTTTCTCAATAACTATACTCAAAAACACCATGCTCCAAACCATACTCGGTGTCAACAACTTCATAGTAACTAAGGTGGACTTCAGAGGAGGGTCCAAATTTTGGAGCTTGAGTTGGACTAAGGTCCAGCGCGCTCCCGAAAGGACGCTTGCCAGCAGGCAAAGAGCAAAACCATGAAATACAAAGTCGACTTCCCCAAACACCGTCAAGAACTCTCCCATTGCAATAACTATTACAACTCCGATTAGAGGCCACGTTATGCGTTCAATTTTGAAAATGTATGCCCAACTAAGAACAAATATTGGCGTCGAAGCTTTTACCATTGTGTAAAAGGTCAACGTGATTGTGACCAATGCTAAGTTGGAAAAACCAATGTCAAGCGCAGTTACAATACCGCAGGGCACACTAACTGATGCCCATTCCTTCCAAGTCATGTTGGTAACTCTATCTGCTCCTAGTTTTTCTGGGAAACAGGCGCATGCGACATAGGAAAATATCCACTGTATCAAAAAGTGTACCGATGTCAAAAGAAGTGGGCAAGGGAAGTTCATATGGCCATCTCCAAAGACATATTTATTGTATGAGCCTAAAATCGATTTGCAATCAAAATAAAGTGAGGTATACGTTCAATGGAGATAAATGGGTAATAAAGCCGAGTCATAAACTAGGATTGGCTGTCCGAACTCAATAGATCGAGCTTACTCAATATGGCAGAGAAGAGAAACCACCCAAGCATTGCCGGCATGTATATACAGTGATCGGAATAGAATCTTCCCACGCCATCGAAGAATTCGCGCGATGCCAACGACATGGCTCCCAATATTGTATTTGAAGAAGAAAGCACGAAAACTTTTTAATTTCTGATGAGAATTGTCTCTATTTTGCCCAACAAAAATTCACTGAAAGGAAAGTTCAAATTGGGTTCTCTGCAATAGAGTTTGCATCGACGTCTTCTTTATTGTTTTGGAAGCGGTTGTTGGCTATTATTATTTACAGCTGATCGTGGGAAAAATGCTCCCGGTTCTATTTTGTGACGGCATTTCACGTATCGAACAAACCTCTCTTGCAACGGTCTACAAGGGTACCGTATTTTAAAACAAAAAATGTTCCTTGGTGCACCGAGCGGCAGCAAGAGTCATGTGCTGGAAGCATTGCTGAAGACTACTTGACTGCACGGTAGTACTAGTACGTACGTACCGTGCTGTACCGGTACGTATGCTATGTACTGTTGAAGACAAAAATAGCCGTACACTACGTTACATACCAAAGGTATGTAAGGTAGGGCCTTTATCTGTATTGTACGAACCGGTACGAGAATCGTGCCTAACACCTGCCTATTTTTCAAACTGTGATCAGTGATCGACAGCGTTTATCGATTATCCTTCAAGTGCCCTTTTGACAGGCGTGATAGTACTTGTACCCTACGGTACATCAACCGTCGGCTTCAAAACAAGTAATACATTGCAATTCAAAGCAAAACAGAATGTGATTGTTCATCACATGTTGACCATATTGATGATGAGCAAAACCAATCGAATTCAGTTACCTACAAATCTCAACAATCGCGCGAGAATAGACAAAACAGAAACCGATACGAAAAGACGAAAAAATGACAACGGCACTGCATCATCGAGGAATCAGAGAACACGTTTCCTGCGTGCTTCTATTCCATGTCTCGTGATGCTTTGTATATTATTATTCCGGTATCCTAGTCTCAGTCTAATTCGGCAACAAATAGAAGGTTACGGCAACGTCATGGTGAAGCTGGATGATATCGTCACCATCCCGCTTATTCCGGATATCGAAAGCCGGGAAGGTCAGGATCACTACTACATGTTTCCGAACACCTCATCATTCGAAGGTCCCAAAGGAATATTACTGTACTTGCACTCTTGTCGACAATCAGGACTGGATTTTTTCACTTTACCCGAACACAGAATACTTGCACTGAGGGCCATCCAGAAAGGAATGATAGTATTTTCTCCTACCTCTCAGAATCGAACATCGGGATGCTTTGCCTCCGAAGGCGCCGAGGGTTATCTGGAAAAAGTCGTTAATGGCTTCATAAGAAAGTATCAACTTGAGCACTTGCCCAGGGTCGGTTTGGGCGATTCAAGTGGAGGATCGCTTCTCTCGTTTGTTTACCGAGCTTTGAACCTCAAGAGCATTGCCATCTTTAATTCACCCCAGGGTTATGACGATGAAGATATGGGCTCGGTAGCACCAACAGTGTATCTGACGATGTCCACCGACAAATCCATCACTGACCGAATGAACTCCAACATGCTGAAATTGAAAAACATGAACGTCTCTTCATATCTCTATAAAGTCTCCCCCAGACCATTCACCGAGTCACTATGTAAGGCTCGGCTCCCGGAGTTGAGCGGCGAGTTTTGTCAACATATCTTACAGACTATGCAAAGTGATTATTCCAATCTTCTGGACACGCATAGTTATGTGGTCGATGGGGATGTGAACTCGGAACAATGGCAAAGGTGCTTTGAGAAACTAGAATCTGATTACAAAACCATTCCCTCTACGTTTACGTCATTGGAGGATTTGGTTCCCTACCGGTACCGAAAGCGGGGAAATGCGATGTCGATAGACACAAAGTCGTGGCTACGAATCATTTTAGAGAAAGAGATTCAGACCTGTCATGGTTTCCATGCTATGACAGCGCAATTCCACGAAGAAATTTTGGATTTCCTGGTGTTGAATGCGAAAATTTAAATTTACAAGATTTGTTGAATTCAGATTGAAAATTAAATATCCTACGATCGCCCATTGAATTGTTGTAGACCGAAAACTATCAGTCTCCTCGTCCAACTTAGTTATGTCATGGTTTGGTCTCGTCACAATGTTCCCTATTCTAGATTCAAATAAGCTCCACTTGCCGAAAAGTATTTCGGCTTTCCCAGCGTTACGCTTTCAAAATTGCACTTCACTTCCGCAGCGATAACAATATTGTGCCGAAGACCAATGGAAAGATGCACCGCATTGGCGGCAGGTAAAGGTAGTGTTCAGAGTTAAATCGTTTTCGTTGCCACTGCGAGCGTTGACCGTGGATTCACGGCTTTTCGTAATTTTATTTCTCATCGACTTCGTACGCCCGTTCCGAATGTCCTCTCGATCCAGCAGAGCTTCGAGAAGTGCAGCGGCTTGTGCTGGAACAACTGCTACTCCCGAAAGGATACTCCCACAAACAATCAATCTCCCTTGTGAAGTGACCGGTGTGACATCTCCAAACCCAACAGTAGTCAATGTTGTCAATCCGAAATACAGGGCATCGAAGTAATTGTTGATATTAGGGTTTACTGTATGTTCTGCCGTATATATCAAACCGGTCGCTACGGAAATCAGAGTGAAGAGGGACAATCCAACCCGTGCGAGTTGCAATTGCCAGTCTTGCACTATGTACGTAGTGGCGCTAGTTCTTCCGGTTGCTTGTTCCATGAATCTGTCAAATGTATCCAGGTCTTGGAGAAAGCGCTGAAGCCGAAGGACCCGCAACAGTTGCAAATTGAACAATCCCGAGGGTTCCGCAAGGGCAGAAGGCAAGAGCGCGACTTCTTGCCAAAACGAGGAGGGCGTGATGACCACCGCGAACGGCAAGATTGCCACGAGAATATCAATGACAAATTGTGGATCGAGAATAAAGCCCAGCTCCTCACGGCTCGATGAAAACCATCTCGCGGCAAAATCTGCAAAAAAGATAGTGCCGATAATTATTTCTACCACGCGGATCATGGGAAGGAAGGCATTCAGGGAATCAAGGGTTGAAAGAGCCACTAGAAGCGAATTCAGCAAAACAACTAATGAAATCAGAATCTCGACAGATGGCTCTTTCAGAAAATTGGCAATGGATTCCTTCAATTGTCCAATGGGACCTGCAGGTAGAATGAGTCCATCGTCCGTATATTGGAGGAATGTAGAATCCGAATCTTCGCGACTGACAAAGGGTCCTGAAATATCATCACAGTCCACGCAGCAGTAGTCTGGTTCGGGGAGAGTAGATTTACCACCGTTCTGCAACACATCCAGCATACTTTCTTCTGTCCATGATCCGCCCAACTTTGTGGAGTCGGTTTCGATATCAGTGGTGTTGTGTTTTTTGGTCGTAGCAAATAAAGAGAGCTCGCCGTTGCGAATTGTGTGCCTCCCGACAGGTCTGTCATGGTTAAATGCTGACAGGGCTGCCTGAAAGGAGTGAACAAAGTTTTCGGAACAATGGAAAATGGCTAGGCAGATTGGCCAAGCTACTCTAGGTGTTAACGTCCGTTTTCTCTTTCTGTTCGTGATTCTACATTTGCTGGTCTCCATTGTTGCTATATCTCATTGAGTTGTGATGGATGGCCGGAATGCTAGACCAGGGTCGTCACAGATGGAACAATAGTGTCATGGAAATTCACGGAGCGTTTCGACTTCGTGATTGGTACCGTCCGTCTGTCTCGGCACGAAATACTATCGTACCTACTGTATTCGTACAGAACATACGGTACGTACCTTTTGCTACGGTTCCAGTTACCATTTCTACCGCGCAGCACGTAAAGTAACCATTACAATACCTTACGGTACATATCTACGGTATGAGAACTCGTACTCGTACAACGTATATTGTACGCTGATGTGTAGAAATTAGAAGTGCGTGGTTTTCGCTTCGAGAAGATTGGCGCGTCTTGTATCTGGTACTGTACTACTCTGAACGCTGGGGGCTACCACACGGTACGTATTTCAGAACGGTGCGATTACTACTTGTGACTTCGATGCAATGGAGCACGAGAATTATGAGCACGAGTCATTCCAGCATGGTTCTCGTGCAATGTACTTAAGTACCGGCTACGCTACGAGCACTACGTTCGGACTACGAAAAACAGTATTCCAAAATGGCGCGCTTCTATTGTTACCCCTAATCTCTAATCTTTTTGATTTCTGTAGTGCACGTAGGATCACGTAGGCCACAGTATGTTTGAAAGAGCAAATCGCCTCCCGTCCCCCCGCACAGCATTGCTTTCCGCGCCAAATCACCGTTTCGTGTGCACCTCGTCCCGCACGAAACCAACTCCTGTCACATCGGTCAGGTGCGCTCTTTGTTGTTACTACTTCTGATTCCGTTGCTGCATCGCCGTTGTTGCCGATAAAATATCACGCGTTGGCGAAGTGGACTATTAAAGTGGTTTGAAGGCAGTTTTGCTCAGCACCAATAACCCTGCAGTCTGAACAGAAAGCCGGCAAGAGATAAGAACCATGCCATCGCTGTGCAGCATTCCCGGATGCGAATCGGGCGAGACCGCCAAAGCAAAGGAATCCGTTGAAAACGATGTTGCATTCGAGGAAACCAAAACGGGAGAATCGAACAACAAAGACGCCATTCCGACATCCGCGAACCACCCATTATCCGATCACATTGCTTCGGTCGATGGAGAAGGTCCGGAAGATACAGGAATTACCACACCTGAATCCGAACCTGCATCCAATCACAAGAAGCGTCGAGTAACACCCGGGAGCGATTGCGGAAGCAAACAAAAGCAGCAAAGGAAGATAAACCAAATGACTCTGTCGTCCTTTTTCAACAAGGGATCCATTCCTACGCCTTCCAAGAAGAAGAAAAAGGCGGCAACAGCATCTACGAATCAAGAGAACAATGGTGTAGCGTCTGGTTCGTCACCTAAAGAAAGAGAAGCTAGCGCCAATTCGAGTTCTCCTTCGACCAAATTGGCAAAGGAAACGAAGATGGAAATCGAAATCATCACTGTCGACAGCGATGACGACAAAGTGCAAGGGAAAAGCCCAGCTTCGAACCCGATATCGCCTTCTAAGAAAGCACCGTTAGCAGTAGAAGGGACCAGTCTTTCTTCCGACAACGAGAAAACCGGAACAGCTAGTCAGAGAGCGCCCGTGAACGACAAGAAAGCAAACAAAGGAGACAAAAGCTCTTCCCAAATCATGGTTGGTGGGTCGCCTCGGTCGAAAACTGTAATCTGTAAACCTTCGTCACCTACGAACTCTCTGAGTGTTCTAGAATCGGCGTCTGGCACCCCTGCCGCAATTTCCGCTATTCCCATCAAGAGGAAAAGCAACAGAAAGGTGAAGACCAAAACCAAATCACCCGATCCATCCACGTGTCCCTCCCTAGCTGTTGTCAAAAAAAAACTATCAGAAAAAGACTTGACGAAAGAACGGCTTGCATTGTTACGAAAGTACACATCAATGAAGGAGATGTACTTGAAACGCGCCAATGAGATTGTCGGTCAACACAGAGACGGGTTGAAGGGAGAAAAAATTGAAAGCGTCAATCTCGAACCCATCACGGATGGCACAGAGTTGCAAACAAAGGAGTCGAAGCTATGCGAAGACTTCCCGACGCAAGTTGTGGCCAACATGGCTCTGATCATTGAGGGAAGGTAAGTCGGAATCAGAACTCGGTGGGGTAAGATCTGGGTTGGACGGAATGAAACTTGCATCAATATTCTAACTTTCGGATTGCTTTTGTTCACGTTGCTGTCGTTCCCAGTGATCTCCCGCTATCGAGACTAGTTTCAAAGGTGTGTTCTGAGTTGAAAGATGTCCATGGAGTCGAATGGTTGGAGGAATCGGTAACCGCGAAGGTCAAACTTTTGTCGAAACGCAAGGCATACCTAGACCCAATGAAAAGGTGTACAAAGGCGGTTGATTTGTTCGAAGACGACGATCAAGATCGTCTTTGGAGGTGGGAAGTGATGACACTCGACTTGTTGCCTTCTGACTTTACTTCCAAGGTTCGCAAAGTAAGGACTGCTCGCAAGAAGGTCTCGACGCATCACTCTGCCCTTTTGAAGCTTGTCAAGTCTCTGGAAGAAACCAAGAAACTTATATTGGATCCTGAGCTTCCGAAGTTAGAAAGTGCGAAGGCCAAGATTAGCCGAGACGAGGAAAAGGTTCTCAAATTTGAGCGTGATGCCGAGAAGGTGCGATTGGCGGACGAAGCAAAGGCGAGAAAACTCCTCGAACAGGAAGCGAAGAAAAGAGCAAAAGAGGAAGCACTGGAAGCCAAAAAACGGGCGAAAGAACAAGCTCTGGAGGAAAAAAAGCGGAAAAAGGAAGAGGCAGCTAAAGCGAGGGAGGAAGATAAACGAAAGAAAGAAGAAGAAAAGTTGCTGAAAGAGAAGGAAAAGAAGCTAGAAGAAACGAAAAAGCTCCAAACAGTGACCAAGCAAAAAGCTAGCTTTCGATCATTTTTCGCCGCCGCACCGAAAAAAGTGACAAATGATCAACACAAGAAAGCACTCAACACTTGCATAGATCTGACTTGTGACTCCTTTGATGCGGATTCATTCCGTGCAAAACTCGATGCTTCGGATGACGCCTTGCCCTTTGCATTGAAAGAGAACAAACGATCGGCTACTGCAATGGCTTCTCGCAAACGTCGCACAAAACCGGTTGCTGTCTCGGTGTATAAAACTGTAGAAGCAGATAAAACCGAGTGGGGTGCATCCGATTACCTTGAGCAAACAACAATCGAAGTTCCGAACAGATACCGATTTTTAAGTTTCCATGAGGACTGCCGTCCGCCGTATCGGGGGAGCTGGAGTAAAAAGAGTTCAATTGTCACCGGGAAGACACCCTTTCGGAAGGATGTTGCTATCTTTGACTACGAGTATGATAGTGAAGCAGAATGGGAGGAGGGCGACGACGAATTGGGAGAAAACGTCGACGATGACTCTAAAAATGGCGAAGATGAGGCCGATCTTGAAGGGAACGCTAAGGTGTACGACTTTGAGGATGGCTTTTGCGTTGCAGATGATCGGTTACTCGATAATGAAGAAGATGCCGACGAGGAGACAAAAGCCTTGTATAAGAAAAAGATGCAAGACCGTGCACACGAGGAACAACAACAATTACATTCCAATCGTATCCGCATCATCGCACCGTGTTTTGGAGGCATACCATTACATTTGAAGAAAGAAGATTGTACGAGCAGTGACTGTCTAGAAGGTTTTCAAATCGATAAAGCAACAGATACACTTTCCTCGTACAAGGGAATTCAACTTTCCAACGTGATGTTATGCGTGGATGCATTCCCGCAATTGTACACAAACCAAGAGAATCGCCCGGAGTCGAATACGAACGGGGATACAAACAAAGATGACTATTCAAACGAAGCTATGATAGCAATGGTGCGATTCACCCATCACTCAACTCTTACTTCGAAAGACAAAGTTATTGAAGAGCTGCGTGCCTCCAGCCCGACTCTGTTCTCAAATCGGGCAAAGGCAACACGCAAACTCGATGCGATCGCCGTAAAGAAGAAGCATCCGAAATACTCTGGAGTGTACTGGGAAGTCAAACCACAGATACTCACCGAGCTTAACCTGACCGATATTTTAGTACGTTGCCATTTGTTTTGCTCCGGTTCTGTTTTGGTCTTATCACATTTTGCAATGTTCGAGTGCTTGTTGTTGTCTTACGATTGTTTACGAAACCTTTCCAACGTTAACATAGAAAAAGAAAGTCGAAGACATAGTTTACGAAGATGACGTTCAAGAGAAGCCTGTGGGATCGAGTGGAGATCAGAAATCCAAAAAGGTTTCTAAAGCAAAGTCCCAATCACCCGATGCCAGCAAAACTATTAAAGCGAAAGACGGGAAAGCCGAAGCATCGGGAAGTGCTTCGAAGAAAAGAAAGACGAAAGAGAAAACTCAGGAACAAACTAACGCGGCAAAGAAAAAGAAAGAAAGCACAAGCGAAGGAAGGGGCAGCATGAAAGGAGACAGTACGAAGAATAAAGATGCTTGTGAGGGGATGAAGAATCTCATGGCCCAATTCGTAAAGAGGTCACCATTAAAAACAAAACCGTCAAAAACCATTGCGAGTTCAACGAAAGATGCAACTCCATCTTCCTCCTCGCAATAAACTCTGCAACAGTGAGAGAACAAACTGATAAGCCGCGACTGCGCCTGTAGCTCGTGCAATCCTAGCTACCAAAGCTATCTAGTTTATAGGTCTCGGTAGAGAACACGTTGGTTTAAGGCTTCCTGGTCACTCGTTCTACGGGTCGTGAATAAAATAGAAAATCTTTCAGACGCGAACTTTCTGATACCTTTTTTTATCATTTCGAAATCTAGATTCATTATATAGACACAAATTTGTGGAGCAACGTATCTAGATGAAGCGTCAAATGGAGCGATAATCGATTACCTCGGCGGTAGCCTTGAAGATGCTGACTCTTAAAGTATTCTTTCTTTCGCTACAATTGAACCGTACTAGAAAAGCCTGGTAAATCCACAGCTTCGACGGTCTCTGCCGCCCGTTGCGCTGACGTCTTTCGGTCCATGATGAGCTGAGCAATCTCCGAAAGCGGCAGGGCCAACAGCGAATCGTCCGTCATATTCGACTGCCATTCCTCCACGAGTTCGTACCAACGGTTTTCTGCATCATCGATTCGAAATTCGTCCCAGCTGACATCCGATGCCTTGGAATAGTCCATGGATATAAGTTCTGTTAACAAGTAGACATCAACGTCTACAGTTTCGTCAACGATAGAAACGGAAGATTCATCCACTTCGCTTTTGGCCTGTGCCGAATTTTGTTTGCTCCTCCCGGAAGCCACTTCTTTGGCTCGGCCATCGTCGGAGCGAAGTTTGAATCGGCCGACGTCGCAGGGAGAAAAGAGCCCCGTCATTTTTTGCCACTTCTTGAAGCAACTCAGCCGGGATCTCTTTCCCATGCGCTTGCTGATGGCAGACCACGCAATCGTTATCTGTTCTGCCTCTACCATTTTCCCCAGTGCCAACATGTCCATCTTCGGATCGACGTTCAAAGATTCTCGAATCAATCGTTTCAACTGTTCTGTCTCCTCCTCTTGCCAGCGGCCACGAACGTATGAACTGTCTAGCTCGCGATACTTGTCCCTGCAGGAGTCCGCCGACCGATTCAGTTTGGCTTGGATGTGCGCCCACTTCTTGCCGAGCGTCGCCACAAAACCAATGAGTTGTTCCACCTCTCGGTCGGACCAGGCACCCCTCTTGAAGGGATGAAGCTGTCGGAGTCCGTGTCGGTACACCGATTGAACCGAACGATAGGGAAGGCACTTGGCGATTTCCATCCAGGAACCTTTTAGATCCGCCTTGTGGTCGCATTCGCTGCAAAGTCGACTCACGGAAATTTGTTTCATTGTGCAATATTCTTTGACGGCGTTCTTTATGATTTCTGTTTCTTCTTTCGTATACTTTCCCGTTCGGGTTTTGAGGCCTTTTCGTGCGATTGCAACAGCAACAGAAGAAGGAATGGTGGTCAAGTTTTTTTTGCAGGAAGGATTGTATTGTTGTGAGAATCAAACAAATTGCAACGTTGGTCAAAAACAGTAACGACAATAAAGTTCCAACCGATTCAAGTTCTTGTTTCGATTTGTCGTCGCATTATTAAGCCCGGACCACAGAAGCCTCGCCTCGCAATGTTGATGACCAAATGAAAAATTCTCCCGACAAACCAACAGGTGCACACCCCATTCGTTTCTCTGGGCACTTACCTTGCCCGAATCCATTTTTGTGCCAATTGTTTTCGTTGGAATTTTTGTTCGGTATAACGTCGGTCGTTACTTCCGAGTCCTCGTAGGGATCCTGTGATGCATCGTAGAAGGTTTCGGTAATGTCCTCATCCTGCTGTGATGCGGTTGCCATCTTTGAAGAGATCGAACGATAAATTCCACTGGAATGGATCTTTGTCCTGCCGACACGGTACTTCGTGGATGAATCGTTGATCGTAGAAGATGTTGATCGTTGTTTGGATGTGATGTGTATGTACGGGTTCCGGGCAATCAAGGTTGCGTCAAAGCCGACGAGAGTACTACGGTATGGGAGCTTCGCTGATCGAAGTGAAGGGCCAGTTTACTCGTACGGTATTACGGGATACGGAACGGCACGGAAGGTATTCGTACGTTACGTACCGGTATATGTAGGTCGAAGTGCAACAGTATGGCTTCGACCCGTTCGACTAAAAAATATAACTACATCTCATTTTTCATTTTTCGCTTGTACTTCGTACCTGGAACCGTCCCCACAGTACGTTGGTACGTCAGGGGTCATAAAAGACCCTTTACGTACGGTGTAGTACAGTATTACAACAAAAAACTAAAAAGCTTTTTTTCCTTGAACAGACGGCGGTCGTTCATACCGCACAAAGTTACTCGTACTACGGGTACGTACGTACTTCATGATCGATGATCTGAGCGTTGCTACGTAAAATGACTACTAGTACTACTTTGACTCAACATGGTACAAGACATGACGCGCGTATCGTGGCGAGTCAGTCGGTTCGGTTCGGTTCGATTCGATCAACGGTCGATTTCGTGAAAAGGAAAGCTTTCTCCCACCACACGATTGGGATTGAATACGATTTACTAGCAACGCAATAGTACTAACCATTGAATGGTATCATTGTTGGGAACGGAGAAGGTTACAAGATAGTCTTCCAAGTAGCTGTCTGTCTAATCTCATCAAGAAATTGAAGGAAAATCAAGAAAATGAGTGATTCTGCAACGAAAACGAAGGACCCTTTGTTGACCTTGGCATACGCAACAATTGCGATTGTATGGGGAGCGTCGCAGTTTGTTTTGGTCCCGTATGTAGTCCATCTGTTGGTTTTGGTGACGGCTATTTTGTATGTTGCCTGCCATTCGTCGCTCGTGTTGAGGGAAGAGGTCCCCAAGGAAGGAGAAGAAGGATACGACCCGGATGCTCCCGCAAAAGAGACGCTGAAGACGGAGGACGCCATGCAATTTCCAATCATGGGAAGCTGTTCCCTTTTCGGATTGTACCTAGCCTTCAAATTTTTGGGAGAAGACCTTGTGAACCTTCTCATAGGTGGATACTTTGCCCTCGTTGGCGTCGGAGCTCTTGCGCTGACCTTCAGTCCAGTTTTGGACAACATCGCCCCCAAGTCCATGAACGAATACAAAATGGGATTCAGGAAGAAGATTCCCCACCCTTTGCCGGCTTGGATCCTTTCGGAGGATTTTGAGATTGGACTCGAGCTCACCGCAACCGACACTGTGTCCATTCTACTGGCCGCTGGTGTTGTATTCCTCTATTTCCAGAAGAAGTATTGGGCCCTGAACAACGTACTCGGCATTTGTTTTTGCTTGCAAGGTATCGAGCGGCTCTCCTTGGGTACCTACAAAATCGGAGCAATTCTGCTGGTGGGGCTCTTCTTTTACGACATCTTCTGGGTGTTTGGTACGGACGTCATGGTTACGGTAGCTAAGAACCTTGACGGTCCCATCAAACTGCTATTTCCTAGGTCACTCGAACCCCTCGACGACACCGGAAAAATCGAGTTGAGTTTGCTTGGCCTTGGAGATATTGTCATCCCCGGTTTTTTCCTCTCGTTGCTGCTCAGGTTCGACGCCGAGAATGCAAAGATGCCAACTGATAAGGTTGACGTTTACGAAGCGTTCCCAAAGCCATACTTCTATTCGGCCATGATTGCCTATGTTATGGGGTTGGGTGTGACGTTGTTTGTGATGATTTACTTCCAGGCTGCGCAACCAGCTTTGTTGTACCTGGTACCAGCCTGCCTGGGATCGTCCTTCCTTTGCGCTATTGTTAGGGGTGAAGTTTCGCTACTACTGGCTTACTCGGAAGAGGAGGAGGAGGAACCTGAAGAAGGGGAAACATCCAAAACAGAAGAAGACAAGAAAAAGGATTGATTTGCTTTGAAACCATAGGAAGCCGATTGATATATTCAAAGAGCCTGAATATATATTATGTAGCCCTATCACTGATTTAAAAAGTAGTCGCTGCGTGTTCCGTAGAATAGAAATCAATTCAAAACATCTAATCGAATACAATTGTTACTGTATGTTCTATGGATATGCATTGGCGTATCGTTGAAAAGCCTCCCCGGTTTTCACGAATACTTCGCCCACACCGTCTCTCATTCCGCTCTTGATTTGTCGGCTGACCATCGGTGGGCCGTTTGGAAAGACGGCTTCGAGGGAGCATATCAGCTTGCAGCTTTTGTTCCCGGTGTTGATTACGACGTACTTCGTCCAAGCTTCAAACGTGGATCCGTATGGCACATCGGGAGTTAACGCTCGGAGCTTCAGCGAAAAACAATAATCATTGTAGCACTCGATGTAAGCAGTTTCATGGGCTGTATTTGCGGCCACAAACGCCGATTTTGGCATCAGGTAGCCTAAAGAGGATAATCCATTACAACGAAATATGGTGATGAGTTAAAATGCGTTTAGGGACGAAACGCACCGAGGCTAAATACAAAGACGGTTTGAAAAAGAAATTCCATGAAACTCACTCGTTTTTCTTTCGGCCCCGATGAAGTCTTCGTGCTTGACAGAGTCGGGCAATTTTGATAGACCAATTTCGTCATTAAATTTGTTCCATTCGCCAGAAACGATACTAGAGGAAAAGATAGAGAAGAAATCCTTTAGTCGAATGCCACGCTTTCAAAAAAGAAGCGACGTGAAGAGTACCAATACGAATCGAAAAATGAGGATGAGCCGCCCGCTGAATACTTACTTGTCGTAGTTTAGTTCCGTTTTCATCACTGCATCTTTCATAAATGAAGATTCTGAGTTTAACAGAGCCCAACGCAAACGTTGGAACCCTACCTGTAGGTTGAGCTCAAGACTAACATATTCGAGATTCGGAGGTACTTCAAAGCCATCAGGGATACCAGGAGCTGCTCTGTTATCATCCTTGATTGCTGGACCTAATAAAGGACCTAGAAGTTCCGCTTCACCTTCTCCTGACCCTGCCTTTTCTTGCTTCTTCTTGAGGGCACGACTATCTGTACGGATTTCTTGGAGAGCTGAGAGCATGCAAACCGTTTGACTTTCTGCATCCTGAATTTGAATGTTCATTTCCATTCCTTTCTGCTCCACGATGTAAAAAATTTCTGTTTCCAATAAATGACTGGTGAGTGATAAAGTTGCTAATCGAAAATGCAAAAAATCCATACTCTTTTGCACAGACTTACCGTCAGTGACACTTGACAGAAAATATTTCCGAAAAGTTTCTCCAATACAAAAACGGTACAGAAACCAACAAATTGGAGTGTATACGATCCAATGCGTATAGTAGAGGGTTGCCACAAAACCTGCCAAGACTTCCATACTCGTCATATGGGATAGTCTTATCAAGCTAGCTAGTGGTCCGTATCTTCTTGTTACTCCATTTGCATTATCCAATTCAGCTTTTCTGATCCATTTCGCCCGCCGTTCATTTACGTCCACGTAAGTCTTTTCAACTAAACGGCTCCAATCCACCCCAAGGACATTGACAGCAAGGACAAAGTACGGTCCGACACGATATTCGATTTCGGACTCTATGAAAACACCCCTTCGTTTTAACCGTCTAAAGCAGACAAATCGAGATAACAACACTGTAAGAACAATTTCATATGATCACTTGAATACACAAATTGGTAAGATATGGTGTACGTACGGTGTTAGAAGCCTAAAGTGGAGAAAATGTGTGGTCAATGAAAAGAACTTGATCGTGAGAAACAGAAAAACAGATAAATCCAGATCATCAATCGTTATAACGCGAAAAAACTATTACAAATGCATCCACGTACCTATAGAGATCGTTTGAAAGCTGGACTGCGATTCTGCGTGGAGTAAAGTCTGAGGCAAGAGCCAAACCAGCAAGTTGTACGAGTTGGCCCTGGGCTCTAGCCTTGAATTTTTCGAATTGTGCTCGGCTTTCGTCGTTCCGGATATCATTAAGTTTTCCCTCCTTCTGTTTGTGCTCCTCCCATCGTTGTCTCGCTAATCTGTCCAGTTCATGACTAACCACTTGAATAGAATTTTTGACGATCACATTGACGTAGAGAGTTTGCTTGGTATTTTCAATTTTTTGCTTCACGTCCGAGTCGCTTTCGATCTTCCTCTTATAATGATCTACAGCAGATGTGGCCTTCTTGGATTTGCCTTTTTTCATGATGGCATAAGCATCGACAAATTTGTTTTGTATTTTTTCGGCAAGATTTTTACCTTCGGTACGAAATCTACTGTAGGCCCCGTCTCTTTGTCTCTCGATTTCTCTCTGTTCTAACATATCGTAATAGTATTTATCTTTCGAGTAAGACTCCAGTTCAAACTCGGCCTCTTGTTCAAGCTGGCTCAACACAAGCTTTTCAGCTTTTTTGCAGACGTCTGTAAGGGCCTCATCAGCCAAGACTACAAAATCATCACTTTGGTAGGGATTATTCTTATTTGAAAGTATCCCTCGGTGCCCGATGGGTGGTGGACCAATTTCGGACGATGAGAGTGCAAACTGATGGTTCAAGTTCCGAGAAGAGACGGCAAGAAAATCAGGCCTCGCTGGTGCGGGCGAAGCTCCTGAGTTAGCAACACTTGCTTTCGAAGCTTGTTCGTATGTCTTGAAGTCTTCATCGAGCTGTAGATGCTCACGTTGTGAGCCCTCAAACGAGGCAAAATTTTCTCGTGCTGTTTGAAATACTTCACTGTCCCTATCCGCTCTTCCGAAGCTGTTATCATGTTCTAGACCATTTTGTGCCCATCCAAGCTCTGCAACTATCTCCCTTATATGATAATCCTCGTGTTCACTGGCGGCCTCATAAGAACTGAAGCGTTTCCCAGTAACTCCGCACATCCATGCTTCTCGCGGATTGTTTTTCACGGGGTTTCCGAGTTGAGCTAAACTTTTCCTCACGTATGCAGTCGCCTCACCTGCCTTCTTCTTGTTTCGTTTCTTGATCTCTGCAAACGCACTCAACCGATCCTCGACCATTAAGTCGTCACTTCTGACCGACTCGCTCTCGTTGTCACCGTACCTAGATCCAATTGAGCCATGGAAGATTGGCCTTTCTCGGGATACGTATGACGAGTACGACTGTTCACTATACAAGTCCGAAGAGAGCCGGTGCGTTCTCTGCCCATGGAAAGAAGGTTCCATCATTCCAAAATCAATAATCACTGAGCGGGCCGACTCATTCCGAGCGTCTCTCATAGCAAGAGATGCGACATGCTGCACCGCCCGTATTGCTTCGCTTCTGTCGTTGTCATCGAAATGATAAACTTTTTTTAAGTTATCGAACTGTTGAGATCCGTTGTTATGCTGGGAAGATGGCATGTTCTTTCAAACGTGAAGCTAATTGGGCATTTCGATGCTCCGAGTTGTGGATGTGTGTTGGATGTGTGTTGGATGTTGTATTTCGCCTCGTCTGGAGTGTGATCTCATTCATCTAGCGATTGCAATCATAATCGTAACACCACGAAATGATCGTCTTCTGTTTGACGGACGAATGCGAAAATTATTCTCCCTGGTACGAGTATCGTACAGTACTCGTTTTGAATTGGATGGGCTGTGTTAATTGTTACAGTAATTCGTCTTCTCTGTAACACCGTACTACTAGTTCCGGTACTCTCGTACTGAATTCTCGTACTAAAATACAGTTGATTAGACACATGCTCAAATAAATTTCGTTGTTAAGTAATCCGCTTTGAGCTTTGACAGACGAGAAAGATACGGGGTACGATCAGTATGTACTAATGCTCACTGTGCGGTACTGTAGAAATACGTACTTCCTCCTTACTACGAAGTAGTACCGGTGGTACGGTATTTGCTCCGAAGCTTTTTGTTGCTTGTTTTACGATACGTAATCTACTACGACTCGTAGGGATGTATGGTATGAAACTATTCCAAACTGTAGTTTTTAGTAATCCTGTACTATGAATACCGTAATACATACATAAAGTAGGTATTATCCATACGTAGTCAACCTTGGCTTGAGTTGGGCAATCCGAATTCATTCGAAGTAGACGTAGGTATGGTACTCGTACGAGTAGTAGTACCGGTAGTATTTTTTTTCAATGCGTGTAGAATACCTTAAGCAAAATCGTACAGACCTACCAAACCCGTACCGCTATTTAGTCCCTTCCAAAAAAAGAAATTTCTGCGCCTACCCTAACGTTGTTTAACCCTACGCGACTAAGCTAAGAGTACGCTACGGTACGTACTTCACGATAGAGTACATACCGTACCATACTACCCGTACAACTGTTGTCCCCCCAAGGTACAGTTCTCGGTGCTTTTCTCACCAAAAGCGGACGTCGTGATGAACGCTTTGAACAGAAACTGGCACGAAGCAAGAAAATTGGTGATTCGGTTGGACTACTATGCTATGGCTACTGCTCTCGTACCGTAGAGGCAGTACTACCAGTTTTCATACCGGTGCGAACGCGGCAAGTCGACAATTCATACCAAGGGTTCAGTCACAGACGAATCGAAGCGTTGAGTTCTTGTGCTACTGCCGCTCCGTAAAGCAGTCGAACAAGATAAACTATTGTCACTGCGTTACTATCGGGGTTTCTTACCGCGAACTACTCTCATTAAGAAGGTTGAAGAAGTCAAACGATGTCTTATTCGTATCTATTCAAATACATTATCATCGGAGATACCGGTACGTTTTGTTGTCGGGTGTTGCAATTTCTGTGGCCGTGTGAGAAGTGGTGGTGTTGAATCGTGTGGGTGCTGCACTTTTCAATGATACAGAAAAATGAGCACGAAGCAAAGAGATCGATGGACGAAGAAGAATTTGAAAAGACTACTTAGAAGAGTGATGTAGAGCAGATTTCCATCCTCGGTGGATCGATTAAGACGATTGCCTTCTGGTCGATTGATTCGGTTTGGTGTGGTATGGTTTGGCTCGGTCATGTTTCTATTGCTACGATGACAGTGCAATCCTTGTTCGCCGTCGAATCAAACGAAAATCTAATCTCCGTGCTTTTCTGTTGCGTCACATCGTCTTGTGCAAATAAATGATTGCAATAATCCGAATGGTGTCGGCATCTCGTGTGGAAAAATTGCGCAGGGGTTGGAAAGTCCTGTCTGCTGTTGCAGTTCACGGACAAGCGATTCCAACCAGTTCACGACTTGACCATCGGGGTCGAGTTCGGTGCACGAATGGTGAACTTGGACAGTGACAAACTCGTGAAGTTGCAAATCTGGGATACGGCCGGACAGGAATCCTTTCGAAGTATCACCCGGTCGTATTACCGAGGCGCTGCAGGAGCCCTCTTGGTCTACGATATAACCCGGAGAGACACCTTCCAGCACTTGTCGCGGTGGCTCGAGGAGGCGCGCCAGCACGCCCAGTCCAATATGGTAATCATGCTGATCGGAAACAAGAACGATCTCGAGCACCGCAGGGCCGTGTCCACCGAAGAAGGAAAGGCATTTGCCGAGGCCAACGGGTTGATCTTTTTGGAAACATCCGCCAAAACAGCATACAACGTCGAACCTGCATTCATCAACACGGCCGAGAACATTCATGGAAAAATCGTCAGCGGAGAAATCGATGTCACGAACGAATCGAACGGGATCAAGATGGGAATGGCCAACAGCGGCGGAGTAGGTGGATTGCCGGGATTGAACGAACGCTCAAACGCAAACAGTCGGGGCTGCTGCTAATTTGTGGAACCAATGTATTCGTATGTTCGTCGTGAAAAAGTCAAACGTAATCTACTCTATTTTTTACTAACGGGTGGTCATCGTGCCTCGAGGGAGTTTGGGATTTATACTTGAGAGGGAGCCGTATACATGAAAGAAAAGTCTTCTTCTCAATGAAGTCTGAGATAGGAAATAATAGATTTAATTAAATAATTCATACCACTATTATTCTGAAAGACGTCACGACGACTCTTGCAGTAAGAATAAACGCGCTTAGACACAGCAAAGGGCATCGATAATACCCGACCCTTCGAATGACAGATCTGGTGTAGTTAGACTATTACTGCATTCAATATAAGTGATAAATATAATTTAAATCGTTCAAATTCAGTCTTGTGTGATTATACATTATACAGTTCGACGTGCTGATTAACTAATTTGACCCCAATCCACTTTTTACATGGGAAAACGGGAACTTGCTCTCTCTGGCTTGATATTCGAAGTTCTTTGTCTACAGTTGGAATCCGTTCCTTTCCGTTCTATTCTATTCGATGAGAAAGTTGTGGGTTTCTGTGTCCTGACTTCTTCGATGGGTTTTGCCATCCATGAGTAATGCCACGATGGGATCGTTCAGTCTCCTTCACCGGTTTCCTCGTTGAGTGGACCACCCACTTGACTCATCATCGTAAACTCGGTCATGGCGTGACTGCTAATTACGCGCATGGCTCTTTGTCGGTCTTTGCGAGTCGAAAGAATGTTAACAATGTCCCGGACGCGCATTCCACTGACGGGCATGTCGTCGACGGCAATCAAAATATCTGAGGGAAAGACCCAACCAGCAAGCGGACTGTCCGTAGCAACATCACTAACCATTGCATGCCCACGGAACTCAACAAATGTTACCCCGATGCGACCAGGGGGAGCGGAAACAACGCGATGGTAGGGTTCCGCCTCGTCTTGGTGATGGTGGTCGCCTGCAGCACCTAATACATTCATGGCTGGCTCCCCCGCATATTGATATCGTGTCGTGCCGACAGTTGGACTTGAAGTTAGATCCATTTGTACTCTGAGATTTTCAGGCAGTGTACCGTCGGGTGCAGATCCTGGCGCGTAGTATTGATTGTGTGCCTGGTATAGTCGGCCTGGACTAGCAGCGTACTTGTTACGGGACAAGAGACCACTAAGAGCACCGCCCAGTGCGCCCATTATGGTGCCATTTGTTGCCCCACCCTGTTGTGCATTATGGCGTTGTTTGTACTGCAGGGAGCTTTCGTCGAACGTATCCGCACTGCCAGAATAAGACCGCATCCGGGAGGGAAAACTACTGTACTCGGTGTACGTTGGAGTTTTGGGAGGTTCGAACGGATCTTTTATGTCCACTGGTTGGGTCCGTGTAGAAGGAGGGATATTTGAAATGGCTTCGGTCACGGCACTGTGAGCTACACTTTCCGCAGAACTTATTCTCGGCTCGAATCGATTTATCCACTCGTCTTCGCTCAAGGAATCCCCCGCATCTAGAAGAGATACTTGGTATTGCGACTGAAACCCCACCGGGAACGAAGAGGCCGCAAAGTCCTTTTTTTGACTCACCGTAACACACATGTCGTATGATGTTTGTCTGTGTGCGCGCGTTTGTACAGCGACATGGATGTCGGCCCTTCTGAGAAGGTGAGGCAAGACGTGCATGGAAAAACCATCTCGCACCTGATGGTCAAGACTTGATATGGTGAGCGGTGGCAAATCTTCTAGATCATCACTTCTCATTACGTTTTCAATCCAACGCATTAATGACTCGTGAAGGGAACGGTCCTGTGTCCATTGTTCCAAGACGGCAGACACGATTGGCGAATGCAGATCGTGATCTGGAGGGGGTGGAAGTGTTTTCAAATCATACCAGTCCGTGACAAAATTTTCTGCATCCAACATACGAACATTGACCGTACGTTGAAGAGAATCTGGAGTGCCAGGTGCGGACGAAGAATCGGATTTGCGGAGTTGAATGTCTGGAATATCCACAATGGGTACTGGCTCGAGATCTGCAGTATCTTCCATCCCTTCATTCTCATGTAATTCATTGTGTAGTCTGCGAATGGTCTCGTTGGCCTTCTCCAGGGCATTTTTGAGAACAAGGATGTCCCGTTGAGCAGAGGCTTCTATCTTGTCTCTCGCTTCGTTTTCTGTTGCACTATGAAAGAAACGCTCAGCTACGGGTCGATTGTTGGGAACAAAGTCTGATCGACCCTCTTCTTTCGTCCCCGATTCGCATTTCACAGATACGTGCGACGACCCCTCCGAATCGTCAAGAACTGATTTATCTACTTGCTGTAAACACTGCACACAACAAAGCCTTGTAAGCATTCTTGGACAAAGGCAATCCTTTCCTCTTCTACTGATGAATTCGTCGCAATCTAACTTACCTCGCTTCTTGAAACCGTCTTGATTCTCCCAATCTCAGCACGACAGTTTGATAATTCTTCGTTTAGGATGGAGTTTGTTTGCTTGGTTTTAGTAAGTTCTAGCTGCGCACTGTGGAGTGTTGCCTTCAACGTTACTATATCCATCTTGTCGATCTTGTTCGTGTTGTTTTCCTTGTTTTCTTTGTTTTGCCCCGCACAAGTAGATTCGGCACTGGGTGTTTGTTTGGTGCCGCTCAAGACACCACTGTTGACAGTGCTCTGTCTCCTTCCTATTGACTTTAGCCAAGTAGATGCAGAAGTGGAAGCTCGTTTCATCTCCACTGCATATGCGTGAGATTTTACCAACTCTTCCAATAGCTCTATCTGGCGAGAATTCTGCCGCTGCCTGCCGGTCTCTTCGCCGGCGCCCGGCCCGCTGTCCGCATCTTTGCTCCATTTTTTGAAGCTATCGATGAGGTCTGTCAGGACGGAATCGCGATCGAAGTGGTTGTTGCTCGTTTCGTCGCTCTGTTCCACCCCGAGCGACGGCTCGGTGGAAACCTGCGAAACACGGTCGTCCGGTTTCTCTTCCCTCTCGTTCGCCATGGGGTCGTCGCCGTTTGCGGTAGGTCGGGAATCGGAAGCACCGGACCGCGTCGAAGGCGTCATACTGTTTTCGCCCGCACCCGGATCGTTTGCCCGGGGTTTCGTCTCGGTGGGATCGTCCACAGCTGTTTCGCTGGATGCGGCTCTTTCGGTACCCTCGCCGGCGGAGTGGGTTTTCCAGTCGGCAATGCCCTGCTCCACCAAGCACGCCAGGATGTCGAGGGCGTCCTCCCGTTCGATCTCGATCCGCTGCGGCTGCTGGAGTTCCATTGTGGAGTGGAGGGTCGTCGTTTTGCGGGAAAACCTGTTCGCGGAAAGGTCGGAGTGAACACGGTCTCGGCGGTAGACGTTTCGAGGCGCAAACCTGGGTGCTGCTGCTCCCGCAGCAGCTGCTTCGTGCCCGGAGGTGGCGGAGGACTGTTTCGCGGAAAGGGTTCGCTGCGGTGTGGAAGACGGCAGGTATCGAAAGGGGGATTTCCTCGAGCCCGCGGCATCAAAACTCCGGGTTTGCCGCAGGAAGGATCCGGACGACCTTGCGGCAAAGCCGGACGAGGACGGCTCCAGGGGCAGCACCCGGGGTGCCAGTTGTGCCGTTGCTTGCCGCTGTCCCAGGGGGGGGATGACGAGGTCTTCCCGGATCTTCCGCCGGCGTTCCTCGGGGTCGGGATCCCGGCGCACGTCGCCGAGGGTCCTCGTGGGGTCGAAGGACAGGCATTTTTGGGCGTACTGGAGGGTGCTTGCGATCGCGTCCCGCGGGCTCTGGGGAGCCGGCTCGGTGTTCCCCCTTGCTCCCCGGCGGAGGGAGGAAAACCGCGGGCTGGGCACGCCCCTGGCCGGGCCATCGGAGCCGGTCGCGTGGTGCTGGCCTCGCTTTTTGGCGGAGGACTGCTGGTACGCGGCGAGGGAAAACCTGGCCGAGGACCCCGGAGACCTCAGGAGGAAGGAGGAGGGGGGTCCGGAAGACTCGTTCGATGGGGGGTTGGTGTCCACCGATGGTCCCTGCGAGATCCGTGGCCCGTTGCCCCCGGCCGCCTCGTCCAGGGATTTGTTTCCGGGGGCTTGGGGGTTTGGGTTTGTCCTCATCGGCGTGGTCGGGGCCGAGAGGGGGTTTCGGGTCTTGCTCTGGGTTCCGCCCCGCCTGCTGCCGTTCCGGGCGTGGGCGTGGGAGTGTGTGTTTCCCATCCTCCGAAAGGTCGCCGAAACGATCTCGGACGTGGTGGGATTGCGCTTGGTGGGGCTGATGGCCACGTTTGCCGACGCGGCGGTGGTCTTTGTCTCGGATTGGTGGACCGGATCGGTGTCGTCGTGAGTGGAGCGATCGGCGCGGCTCGGTCCGCCGCCGTCCTTGTGGAAGGACTTCGAGATCGGGCCCTGCGGGTCGGGGGTCCCGTTGTGGTGGTTCGCTCGTGGGGTGGGGGGGTCCGGTGCCTCTTGGGTAAATTCCGGGCCGTCCCGGTGCGCGGGATCCTCGGCCAGGGCGGCCCGTTCCATTTCCTCGACTTCCGCCATTCTCGCGGCGAGCGTCTCCCGGCCCATTTCGATGACGGTCCCGAACTCGGAGCAGGTCGACGAGACGACGGAGGGGGAGGTGGACGAGTCGTCGTCTCCTCCGTCGTTGGTCCCGTGGGTTTCGTCGTGGATCGTTTGGTCGTTCCCTGCCCTGGACCCGTTCTTGTTCTTGTTGTTGTTCTCGCGGGGAAGGAGCATGTTGCGAAAGGAACGGGGTTCGTCGTCCGTCTCTTGTGTTTCTTCCAAGCGATCCATTTCTTGCAGGGCGGTTTTGTCGAGCCGCCTGTTTGTGTTGGTCTCGTGCCGGGAGGGTTCTCCCGCTGGCCGATTGGTAKGGTCGTCTCCGACCGATTCGCCCCCGCTGCCCCCCGTCTCGCTCGTGTCCCGACCGGCGGTCCTTTCCCTTCCCCTCCATTCCTTCAGCCTGGCCTGGTGCTCTTCCCTCTCGACGACGGCCCCGGTTTCCGGGGCGAGCGAGAAGGTGGAAACCTCGCGCCTGAGAACCCCCCGCAAGGGCCGGTCCGGAAACGGGTGCTGGGGTGGAACGCCGTGTGGTAGCCCGCCGTCGTTGGCTTCGTCGTCCCGGTCCTTCCGGGGGTCGGCATCGGTAGCACTGGCACTGGCACTGGCATTGGCATTGGCATTGTTGGTGCTGTCGCTGTTGCTATTGGCATTGTCGGTGCTGTCGCTGTCGCTGTTGGCATTGTTGGCATTGTTGGTGCTGTTGCTGTTGCCATCGGCATTCCCGCTCTCGCTGCCAATGGCACCGCCCCTGCCGCTCCCGCTGGCGCGTTCCCCGACCAAAGCGGCGGTGGACGAGGACCTCTGAACCGCGCCGAGGCGGGCCCGGGTGAGGCTCGGCGGCGAGACCGGGCGGGGGCTCGGCGGCGGAAGACCAAGACCAAGACCCTGGCCGCGGGTTTCGCGGTCGTCCCCGCCCGCTTTCAAGCGGGGGGAGGGAGACGGCGGGGGCTTTGTCGACGGAAAGAAGCCGTAGGTCGCCTCGACCTCGATGCCCTCGTCAACCGCGGCCGCGTGGGATGGGTCGTTGCTGGTGTTGCTAGTGTTGCTAGTGCTGTTGCTAGTGTTGCTAGTGTTGCTAGTGCCGCTGGTGTGCGTTCCGTTCGCGTCCGGAACCACGCTGGCCACCAATCGGTAGTACCGATCCCGGCGCGTGTTGTTGCTGTTGTTGTTGCTGTTGTTGTTGCTGTTGTTGTTGCTGTTGCTGTTGTTGTTGCTGTTGCTGTTGTTGTTGCTGTTGTTGTTGCTCGCGTTCCCGTTCGCCTTTGTGGCATCGAGGGACCTCCTCTGTGTGTGGCCCGTGCTTTTGGTGCGGTTGTCGTGGAGTTCGGTGGCGGCCTCGGAGAAGGTGTCCTCCCGGGAAACAACCTGCCGTTTCCCCCTGTTGTTGCTATTGTTGTTGCTGTTGCTGTTGCTGTTGCTGTTGCTGTTGCTTTTGTTATTGTTATTGTTATTGCTGTGGATCCCMGAAGGCCCCGGGCCCGACGTTCCCACAGTCGTTCGACGAGGAATCGAGGCAGCCGGCGACAACGCGGAGGAGGAAGACGAGACGTAGGAGGTCCCGGCCCCCGCGTCCGTGAAGCCCGGCATCAGGAGGTTGCGGTACAGGCCCCCGCTTGTGTTTGTGTTTGTGTTCGTGTTCGTGTTCGTTCCCGCGCTGCGGGGCGACGCGGACGGGCTGCTGCGCTCCATGGTGGTCCGCGAAGCCGAGCCGAGCCAAGCCGAGCCGCGATAGCTTCGCTAGCTTCGTCGCGTTGCCTTGCCTTGCCTTGCCTTTGTGTGTGCTACCGGGCGGCTCCTTCCTGCCGGTGTGGGTCGTGTTGGCTCCGGCAAAACGGTGGAACGGAGAACGTTTCGGGGTCTGCCGTACGATACGATACGAACCTCTAGCGCTGCCGGTAGGTTCAATCCCGGAGGTCCGAAAGAAAACGAGGTGGTTGTTGGCAACCCGGCGTGGGGTTTGGTTTTGGTTTTGCGTCTTTGCTGTCAAGGTCTCTCGACACGACGACGACATTCGATTCGGCCCGCCCTCGTTCGTTCTGCCAAAGCATCGTACCGTATGGTACTGTACAGTACCGTACACTACGAAATGTACGAGTACCACCGTACTGCCGTAGTTGAGTCCTGTTTCGTTGCCGTTTGTTCCGCTTGCGGTATTTTCGCTGGAACATTCTCGCCAGGTTTCACTCGTTTTGTTCGAAAATCCTAGATTCCCGGGTCCTCTATGGTATGTACCGGTACGTAACGTAACGTGACGTAGCGTACTTACGTACCCATACCTCCTCCTCTTGGGTAAAGAATACTACCTCCGTTCCATAATACTGGTACAGTTTGCACCTCTCTGGTTGGAATAAGCTCAATAT